ATGATGCAACAAGCAGCAAAATCACTCAATGGGTATTGGAAGACAGGGCTAGAAGAAATAATCTTCTTGTTTTTGGTGTCACTGAGACTGATAAGGAAACACGACAGGACATTGAAGAGAAAGTATTAAAAAACATATTCTCAACGCGCCTTGGTGTTACAGTGTCCTCAGTAGAAAGAATTCACCGCATTGGTCAGAAGAAAAGCAAACAGGACAGACCAGTAATTGTAAGATTTTATGACTACAATGAAAAGATGGCCATATTTAGGAGCTGCAAAAAATTGAGAGGTACTAATATCGCAGTCTCTGACGACTACTCAAAAGAAACATTAGAAAAAAGGAAGTCCCTTTGGCGCCCTGCTCTTGATGATAGGCGCAATGGTGCGAAGGTGAGGCTTGTTCGAGATAAGCTTTACATCGACGACGCTGCTTATACTTGGGATTCCCGTTCCCATACACGCGTGAAAGTTAAGAACGCTCAAAGCGAAGCACGCAGCCCGGTCTGACAAAAGAAGCAGTGCGACATAAAGCTGATAAACGTGCATGCACGAAGCGTTTTGAAAAAAACAGAAGAACTAGAATCGTTGACACTAATTTATGACCCTGACCTCGTGGCTGTAACAGAAACTTGGCTAACAGAGGATGTTGCAGATACGGATGTTTTTCCCATTTCATTTCATGTACTGCGTAATGACAGACTAACCCGAGGCGGAGGCGTTGCTTTACTGATTAAGAAAACTCTTCGGTACGAATTATTGCCGCCCATTAAAGACTGTGAAAACGTGTGGTGCAAATTATTTATGGGAGATATCACGTTACTTATAGGGGTTCTCTATAGGCCCCCCGGAACTTCAGTTGATATTTTTGAGAAATTGGATGACTACTTGCTAACAATGACAAACAAACGAAGCAGAGTAATAATCACAGGCGATTTTAATTTACCAGGTGTTGACTGGAATGCACGAGTTGCTGGGCCCCTTAACAGGCCTCTTGCAGAAAATCTGCTTGACATCATGATCAAGTACGATTTGGTTCAGGTAGTTGACAAGCCCACTCGAGTTCAAGGAGAAACCGAGACATTGTTACTAACTATTTTTGTCACAGGAAGTGTTTGATTATGAAATAAGTATCGAGGATGGAATCTCGGATCATAAGGTGGTTGCAGCAACTCTTAAACCAAATAAAAAATTAGAAAAAATAACCAGAGTAAAGGTGTACAATTTTCAGGCCGCAGATGATACCTCAATTCTTGATTACATAGAAATGGCTTTTGACGCTATCCCGCCTACAGATGATGTAAATGACCTCTGGGAATACTTTAAGAAGGTAGTAAACGACTGTTTGTCACGTTTTGTTCCCCAAAGAGAAAAGAGAACTGCAAAAGCTAACCCATGGATTACCAGAAGCATCATTCACCTAAAACGACGACTATGTCGCGCCCGTCAGAAAATACCAAGAAACTCTTCTGTTATTGCTCACATTAGTGCTCAGGTACGAAGAGAAGTCAAGCAATCTAAAAGTAATTTTCTAACTAATATATTGTCTGAATACATATCCAACTCTCCCCAGAAATTTTGGCGGTACCTGTCGAGTTCGCAGTCTGAAATAACTGGGCTTTCTATAGACGGGACCTCCTATAGCGAACCGATTCAGATTGCCGAAGCATTCAATCATTACTTCAGTACCGTTTTTTCTCCAAGTATTGATCATTCAAAAAAAGGCTGTACGTTCGATGATACTAGTTCCAATCTTCTTACCGTATCTAAAGAGGGCGTAATGGCTTTACTGCTTGAATTGGATCATAAAAAATCACCTGGTCCGGATATGATTCCCAATGAATTTTTGAGGCGCTACTCTGATTGGGTTTCTAGTTTCTTAGTTAAAATTTTTAATTTATCTTTGTGTACTGCCGCTGTTCCGATTGATTGGTTATTAGCAAGAGTTGTGCCCATTTTCAAAGCTGGTGACCGCCTTAATGTTTGTAATTACCGTCCAATTTCTATCACATGCACGGCATGCAAAGTAATAGAACATATAATTTCAAAATAGATATTTCAATATATAAAAAACAATAATCTGTTTTATAAGCAACACGGTTTTAGAAAAGGCCTTTCAACCATCACTCAGCTTTTTGAATCTGTTCATGCTTTCGCTACAGCGATAAACTCAAAAGAACAAGTCGATGTCATAGCAATTGATTTCTCTAAGGCCTTTGATAGAGTATGTCATCAGAAACTTATTCAAAAAATGTTAATACTTGGTATTGATCCCGCAATTGTAAGATGGGTTGAAGCGTACTTGCGCAATAGGTTGCAGTTTGTTGAAATAAGTGGCGCACGTTCTTCTCTTTTACGCGTATCCTCAGGTGTGCCACAAGGCTCCGTGTTGGGACCTCTACTCTTTTTAATTTATGTGAATGATATTGCAACGGTTGTGCCTCCTTTTGTTGATGTAAGGTTATATGCAGATGATTGTCTCTTGTTTTGTCATGTGAAAAGTGTTTCTGATCAAATGCTCCTCAATGATGCTCTTCGATGTATTGACAACTGGTGTGAAAAATGGGACATGAAAATTAATTTTGATAAAACTGTGTGCATGACAATTTCAAATAAAAAAACCCCCCTTAACTATAAATACACAATAAACAATAGAGAAATTAAGAGTTCTAATGAGCTTAAATACTTAGGTGTTACTATATCCAGCAGTTTAAAGTGGGACAAGCATATTGACAATATTACAGGACTGGCGAAGCGAAAGCTGGGTTTTCTGAGAAGGAAACTCCGTAATGCACCGCCCTCTGTTAAATTGTTGGCGTATAAGACTATTGTTAGACCAACGCTGGAGTACGCAGCTATCATCTGGGATCCACATACTAAAACTGAAGTTAACAAACTTGAACGAGTACAAAGATTGGCCGCGAGGTTTATTTATTCAATTTACATGAGAACACAGTCTGTATCACTTTTGCTTGCTAGGGCTGACCTTCAATCGTTAGCTACACGAAGAAAAATAGCTCGCTTAAAATTTATTTATGACCTGTATCATAAAAACTACAAGCTGGATCCCAGTGTATACCTGCGCCCCCCAGGACGAGTATCGGCTCGTACCAATCACTCATTTTCTGTCCAAGCTTATGTACCGCGGGTGGATGTATTTAAGTTTTCGTTTCTGGTGCGATCTATTGTTGACTGGAATGCGCTTCCTCCCGAGGTACTTACAGGATGTAGATCCTCACAGGATTTTCAACGACGGCTGGACTTGTTTTTTGCCTAACATTGTTTGTGTATTGTTAACCTGTTCACCTCCCACCCCTGCTACAGCCCGCAAGGGCTAGCAGTATTGTAAATAAATAAATAAAAGGTACACAACAGATTGGCTCAAGGTTTGTTTGCTGCTGAGGCTCACAAGCCCGAAATGATACAGGAGGCTGTTGGAAATGAAGGTCCTCCTCCTTCCTAGTCCAAGTCGCCTTGTCCAGCCCTTGAGGGGCCTTCCATGTGACTATGGCCTGAATAAGTTTGCTCGTGAGAGCATTAAGAATCACATGGCTGGGAAGCCGGACCACCATACCTATGGTTGTTTGATTATTGATGAAATTAAGTTGTGTGAGGGAACTGAATATAATCGGTCTGCTTACAAGTTTGATGGATTTGTTGATAATGATGATGTTAGTCAAGTAGACAGTGACAAGCTTGCGGACCAGGCTTTGGTGGTCATGTTCAACCCAATGTTTGCATCATGGGTGAAGCCTATTGCTACTTTTGCTGCGAAAGGAGCAGCACCCGGGTGGATTTTAGCTAAAGTTGTAACAAACTCTGTGCTACAATTGCATGAACATAGGGCCAGAGTTCTGGCAGTTATCAGTGACGGTGCTGGAAACAACAAGTCAATGTGGACTCATCTGGGAATAAGCGGCAAGCTTCAGCAACCAAAGTGCAAAATGGCACACCCATGCCTTCCAGAAGGCACATTCCTTCACTTCATATGTGATGTGCCACACATAATGAAGTGTATTAGGAACCATATGGTGAAACACAAACTTGGACAGGTGAGTAAACCACACTGTTATCGACGCAGCAGTCACACCTCTAGGTTATGGAAAAGCAGTGCAGATATTTTGTATGCCATTCTTCTATTACAGATAGGAGACCATGAAGCTAATCACCAGCACTATGAACGGCTTTTCGAGGCTTAGAAGAAAGCAGCCATCAAAGTTGTGCCAAAGTTAACTGAATATCATGTCAAGCCGCAGAAGCTTCTGACAATGTGAGTCCGCCTAGCCACCCAGGTACCGTATCAGCACATTGGCTGCCTCTTTACTTTGGTACCCTCCTGCAGACGCTTTGACACCTTGCTAAGTCAAGCAAACATTTTAATGTTGAATACACATCGCATGTGCAAAACTCGATTTCCTCTTATGAATGGGTTGCTCATGCATTTTAAGCTGTTTTAAGTTTTATAATTATTATTCTGGGAATGTTTTTTTTTTTTTTTTTGCAGCTTTTCAGCCGCAGTGTCTCGATCGGCTTGAAAGTGTACGCCAGTTGAAGGAGCCAGGATTCGCCGACAGTGCTGGAACACAGGAGTTCACATTACTTTTCAATGACTTTTTTACATTGGTACTTCAAAAATTCCTGCAGCTGGAATAAGAAACGGCTCTCCAAAGATAAAGGTATGCTATGCATGTAAATTCTTCATTTACTGACAAAATATTGCTTCACTCATTTTATGGCAAAGCGGGCTTGTAATAACTGGGTTTGTGCTACACCACTGGTTCTAAAACTGTTATTGTTCACCATGCTAGCCTGCAATACGCATACGTGTGGCGGCATATGTTTTTGCTTTTGCTTGGTTCCTTGCTGCTAGTGCATTTGCCACTTTCATCGTTATGTTCTTTGCAGTTTCTCGGGCGTTTCCTGGAAATTATGAATTAAACAGAGGCAATGAATGTGAAGTTATTTGCATCAAGACAAACCATGGAGTCTTTGCACGTGACACTTATGTCTGTTTTGTCACTTACTGACTTCTTGCTGGGCCAGGGTGTGAACTACATCCTTACTGCAGCCCTCAACCAGGACCCACTTGAGGTAAAGCAAGAGCTTGTCATGTTATTTGTCGCAATATTCATCAGGAATGTCTCTTATTTCTTTCAGCGTTTTTTTGGCCTCGTGGAACCTTTGGTGGCGACGAAGATCACCCCACAGTGGCCAAATTTAGTCAGCTGTTCTGCCTTCTCGCACTGTACACTCCAATCAAACTAGCCACCAAAGAAAAATGCGAAGCTGGCCAGGCGGGCACTGAACGAGTCCTGATGAGCACGTTTGAGAGTCTCGGGGCAAAATGCTGTGAAGCCCTGCAGAAAAAGAAAAGCCTCAAGGAAGAGGTTTGGAGGTGTCTGACATTCATACCCCTAAGGGAGTGCAGCAACAGACCTGAAGACCATGTGTACAGCGTTCCTCTACCAGCAAAGACAGCGCTGTACTATTTAGCTGGATATGTATTTCGCAAGGTCCTCAAAGCCACACGTTGCACTGAATGCAAGAAAGGAGCAGTAGGTGCGCAGGATTCCCTTCCTTCTGAAGCATTGTTGGTGTTGGAAAGGGAATACGTGAGCGGCAGCCTTGTGTACCCCTCCAAGAAACTATTCGAATGCGTGAGAAGTGCGGAGTACGTCATCAGCCAGGAATTGAAAAATTATTCCTTTGGTGACCTCTTTTGGAGAGTAATGGATGCACTTACTCAGAAAGGCACCAGCTTTGTTGGTTGCAAACAACACTACAGTGAATTTACTGCAGAGTTGATTCACGTCTACCTTGTAATTAGAATGCATTTCTTTGCAAGACAGAAGTGCCAAGAGAATGACAGTGCCATCAAAGCACAGAGAGAAAGAAAGAAGGCCAAACTTGTCTGAAATTCGAACGCTCATGACAAGTGTGCTTAAATAAAGATGCATTTTCCTTTTCATGAGTTAAAGGCAATATACTTGTGAACTAGTGCGTGATAGTGGCAAGTATTTGTGTCAATATATTGATGTTTTCCTACTTCTTTCCACAAAATTTGCATTTTCTGTTTGAATGATCCTAAATATTATTCACTAGTTGACAGACATCCACAAACCTGAATACTCAGACAGAAGAAAGCGCAGAGGTTCATTTCAGCTGAACAGAGAAATAACGCCGTTTCAGTGGAATTTTCAACTAAAGTTGTACCTTACAGCAAAGGCTCAGTTTCCACTTCCTTTAGGGCACGGCACGCTGAGGTGCTTATTGCTGAAAGGTCAATTTACCGAGCGTCAAAGATCCCTATGCTAACACTCGCGAAAACGGCTTTTAAATAACGATCAGTAGGAAACAGATGAGTCGCAGCTTTTACCGAGGCTTCGTTGAGACGTAGCTCATACAACTGAGCTCCAAGTTTTCCTTCTAGTATCTGAAACAAGAAATTACAGGGCAGCGAAACAGCCCGTTAATCGACAAGTGCACGCCTGGCACTATGCTTGTGCGAGCTACTGTTTTTACCGAGGTCCCGGAAAGACGTAACTCACGTATCTAGGCCCGAAATTATACTCCTCGTGCCTTAAACAAGGAGTTGCGCTGCAGCGCTCTTTCTTAACCTAAAATCGTCGTGTAAACGCTGCAGAACACGCCGAGCAGTAGCAGGCGGCCCTCGTTTGCGTGGCGCAAAGTTCGACTGCAGCGCCGCTGTGCCGAGAACTGCAGCCGGCCGCCCGCTCCCTGTAGGCGAAGCGGGGAGTTCAGAAACTGAAAAAGCATCTATAAACATTGTTTCCGGGGTGCAACCGCAATGGCTTGCTATTCAAAGGCAACGAGTGATCCACGTGGCGGACCATACAGGAAAAGTGGAGAGCATCCTTGACGTCGTCACTTTTACGAACTACAGGACCGATTGATGAAGCAAATTGAAAGCAGCAGGGGCCGACACTCAACACAGGCACAGCGTTTTCTCTCTCTGTTTCTCAAAGGTTCGCACGTGTTCTTTTGAATGTAGTAGTACCGTAATTACTCGAATCTAACGCGCACCTTTTTTCTGGTTAAGCGAGTTTATAAATCGCATGCGCGTTGAAATCCAGTGCGAAAAAAAAAAACGAATACGGCCATTCTATTGCCATCGGCATTTCCAAAATGGCCGCCCCCTACGTGTTTCGGCATGGCGCGTCGGCTATTTCTGCCTATGTCTTGCCCATGTGCGGCACTTCGTACGTGTGCTGAGGAGTTCCTCATCTTGTAGTTCATTAGCATCGACGGCACGGAAGGGCTGACTCCAAAAACAGTTGAGTGCACCACGACGCCGCTTTCAAAAGAAAAGTCATCGCGTGTGCTGAAACAGACGGAAATCGGGCCGCATCGCGGTCGTTCGGAGTTCTTGAAACGTGCGTGTGGGACTGGCGGAAACAAAAGCAGAAGATTGTCAAAGATTCACGCAAAGACTTCAGTGGACCACCGCAGGGCCGGTTGCCGCAAATTGAAGAGCTCTTCGCCGAGTATGTGCTTGAGCAGCGAGTGGCACAGCGGCCCGTGACGAACTGCTCTAAGTGCGGGCTATGCAGTTAGCTTTAGAAAAAGCGCTAACGCGGATCCAGTCCAAAGCGAGCAGGTGCTGGCTAACTATCTTTATGAAGAGGAAAGGCTTTTCCCTTCGAAAGCGAACGGGCATGCGCCAAAACTTGCCAGAGGAGTACGAAGAAAAGCTTCACAGTTTTCAGAGGTTCGTCCTAAACTTGCGGCACAACAACGGCTACCTGCTTGGGCAAATAGGGAATGCCGATCAGACGCCTCTTTACTTCGACATGCCTGGCCCCACAACCCTCCAGAAGAAGGGGGCCAAGCAAGTACGCATGCTGACATTGGGCCACGGTAAAATTAGAGTGACAGCAATGCTCCGTAGTACGTCAGATAGACACAAGCTCCCCCGTACCTCATATTTAAACGGAAGACGCTCCCGAAAGGAGTCGTTTTCCCAAGTAGTGTGATCGTGTGGGCCAACCAGAAAAATGGGAGAGCGTTGCAATCGATGTCTTACTTTTTTTTTTCGTCGTGAAAACCGAGTGCACGTTACAATCGAGGGTGCAGTAGAATCGAGTAAATACGGTACTTCTCTGTTTTTTATTTTCTTTTCCCTTCCTTCTCTACGACAGTGCTGCACATAATGTAGAAACAAACCAGTCTTCGTGATGCATTCAAACTGAAAAGACGTGTTGACTCTGTCATAGTCTCGCTAAAGGAAGGTTTTGCCTCCCTGCTTTTCTGCCACAACTATCAAGACAATACTGATTGTTGGCCTAGTTGGTACTCTACGACAGTGCTGCACATAATGTAGAAACAAACCAGTCTTCGTGATGCATTCAAACTGAAAAGACGTGTTGACTCTGTCATAGTCTCGCTAAAGGAAGGTTTTGCCTCCCTGCTTTTCTGCCACAACTATCAGGACAATACTGATTGTTGGCCTAGTTGGTACTTGCTTAATGACATGATTTGGCCGCAAATAATACACACAGAGTAAAGAAACACTCAACCGCTTGTGCTTGTCGTTGCGTTTCTTTACTCTGTGTGTGTATTATTTGCGGCCAAATCATGTCAGTAAAAAATCAGGACACTGAGCGTTCTGTTACTACACGTTCACTAATTCTGATAATTTTATGGCACACTCCAAGTGGCGACCCTCTAGTGCTGCTACCATGCAGGTCTTTCACTACCCGCAGTCACCCGATATGCAGAAGCAACATGCGATGCTTCGGTGTTAAAAAAAATGAAAATTTTCTTCTCCAAAATAACTAATTAGTTGCTAGTGGGGCTAAATTGCTATAAGGCTAATACGGGAGCGGGTTAGACTCGTTTTATCCACTCATGGGACCCCAAGATGTCCTTCACAGAATCCCTGGGTTTCGTGGAACCCAGTTGGAGAACCTATATGCCTGAAGACGAACCTATACAAGGTTGCTGAGCTTTCAACGCTTCTTAAACAACCTAAAACATTTACCCAATATTACATCGTTAAAAAATGTACGAAAGAAGTGTAAAATGAAAGGTTCATTTTCTTAGACACAATAATAATGAGAAAACAACATCTTTGTTAGTTGTCATTAACCCTCTATTGCATGGCGTCCCATATTTGGCACATACCGTTTACCTTTTTTTTTTGTGGGTGTGGGCTGCCCACTTGAGAATATAATACATTCGGAGTAATTCTCATAGTTTTGTGCATTTATGATGGGCAAGTAATTCCATATCTGTTGAGCGATAAGCGAAACAGAGGCAAGTGCATTTTGGGATGCAACGTGCAACTCGGAGAGGGCGAACACGAGAAATCGACATTTTTTTTCTATGAACGTTTTCCCCTGATAAGCATAGAAAATACATTTTGGCATACATTATGATCTCACAAATTAAAGCCTATTATTAGTTTTCAGTAGTTCTATCGCAACTACACCAAAGAACCTGAAATTAGTGTGTGCCAAATTTGGCACAGTATGAACTTGAAAGATAAAATTGATATCGTGGTGCCAACTGTCCAGTAAATTGCAAAACAAATATATGTAATGAGATGCCTTCAAGCTTCGGTTATCCAATTTCCTCTGTGGCTGCAGCTCAGCACTACAAACCAGCATTTACCATATTTCAGATAGTAGGAAATTGCGCGGGAGGGGATATAGGTGTTATGTGGTGAAGGTATAGAGCGGCAGTGCAATGAATGCATCCACTTTATCACAGGTCACTATCACAAGATGAAATTTCGTCGCTCAGAATGGTGAGGGGAATCGTCTGCCAAACTGCAGCCTGAAAAGCGAAAAGGAACTGAAATGTAAAAGAGATGGTGCTTCAGAGGAACTCACAACCGTCATAGATGACATGGAATTATCGTGTGTGCGTTGGTACGATAACCGCGCCGTGACATTTGTGTCGAGCTTTGTTGGGAGGGATCCAGTGAAAACGACTAAACGCTGGTTTACCTAAGCCAAGGAGTTTGATTAGAATGATTGCCCTAGCATATTAAAGGTTTAGAACAGACATATGGGTGGAGTGGACCTGCTGGACTCACTGCTTGGACTTTACCGCATGCATATCAGGTCCAAGAAGTGGCCCTTTCGAGTTTTCAGGTCGCCTGCCGTCCCGCCGTTTTGTTTACGCAGCCCACATGGTGTTTGGCTAGCCTAGTGCATGGTTGTGCGATCGTGTGAAGTGTGCTCTGCAACGCTAAGCCTAGGTGCTGCTGATGATGATGTTTGATGTTTTGTGGCGCAAGGGCCATTTCACGGCCAAAAAGCGCGAGTTCATCTTACTAAAAATATGGACAATGATTGTGATAAGCGGCTGTATAAGGGCCATAAAATTCCTCCCGGTAAGACGGGTACGAACATACAAATAATAAAATCATGTCCATGCCGTGAAAGGTGTGTGTGGTGTGAATAGATGACGAAAGTTGGTGATAATAAAAGACGATGGTGGATATGTATGGCATTAGCACAAGTGCCTCACTCGTTCATACCCTTGCGTCCAAGGGCCGTGAGGCAAGTGCTTTCTTGTGTAGCCACCGCAGCAAAAACCTCTCTGGAGAGGTCATGCTACGGAATGCCTGGGTATATGATATGAAAACTATGAATTTCTTTTAAAAACTCTAACAATGATTTATGACTAAAAAGTGGTTCCCCACCGACGAACATTGCAGGGTGTAAAGGTATATGTTGTCGGTAAGGTAATAGAAAATGTTGTTTTCTTAGAGTTTCTAAGTGTTTGCACTGGATTAGTATGTGAAGGACTGTTAATGCTTCACCACATCTGTCATGCAATGATGGATCGTCACCAGACAAAAGATAAGTGTGTGTCGCATATGTGTGTCCTATCCTGAGTATCGTTAGTATTATATATGTAGGACGCGATTTCGATACGGGCAGCCAATGACCAAGGTGTGGCTTAATAACGTGTAGTTTTTTTTGTGTGTGTGTATTCCACTTGCTCTGCCAGTATACCCTGAGGTTTCGTTTGAGAGACGCTTAAATCAAGGGCCGGGATCGATATGGGTGTAGGGGCAGTGCTTTTGTGGACGGATGCAGCGAGCTGATCCGCCCTCACGTTGCCTTGAATCTCACGGTGCCCTGGCACCCAGCACACTACAACATGTTGTTTGAGTGTGTAGTATTTGTAATTGCTTGATGTGTTTAGCCGCCACAAGTATCGCATAAGCTTCCACTGTGAAGATACTTGTGTCTGGATGTAGAGGGCCAGCATCCGAAAAGGATGGGCCGACAGCAGCGTAGGATACAAAGGAGTTAGACTTGGAGGCATCTGTAAAGAACTCAGTACGTGTGTATTTGTGTTGAAGTTTCAGGAAGTATGTTCGGATATGGGCAATAGGCGCATGTTTTGTAACTTCTAGAAAAGACACATCGCAGTCTATAGCCTGCCATTGCCACGGTGGCGGGTATGCTACAGGAGCCAGACAAGCTGTGTTCAAGTGAGACTCCAGTTTTCTCAGCTAGACTCTTCAGGCGAACTGAGAAGGGCTGCCTCATCGAAGGCCCGTTTTGAAACAGAATTGAGCTCGACAAATCATTAATGGTAGAGTATGAGGGGTGCTTTTTGTCTGCTTTTACCTTAAGGGGGGAAGCGAAAATCGCGAAAAAAATCGATTTTTTGAAAATGTTATTTTTGGATTCTGCCGCTACTGATGCATAACCTCGCCAATTTTCATGCGTCCCAGATCAGTATTTTAGCCGTGACAGTGTTTTATGTGACATCAGCGAGCTAAATTTTTAGCGAAGGACGCGTGAAAAACGGGCTTTTTCCACGCCGCGCAGTTGCCGTTCTACGTTCCGTACGGCAGCCATCTTGGTGTCATTCGAACGAGCCGCGCTTTTTCTTGAATATCCCGCCGCGCTTGTTTCCATGCACTCGGAATTCGTGCAGAAAATCCGCGCCGAAAAAAGGTCCCACCACGTGAGCCTATGGCGCAGTGAGCGCACGTGACCAACTCGGGCCTTCTGATTCGCCGCGCCTCTCGCGCTGTCTGCTGTGCGCAGCGGCGCAGCACACTTGAAGCGGCAAGTTCACCTCGCTGTCGTATCTGTGTTGTTCTCGTCGGTTTACCCAACCTGCGCAAGCTGGCAAGAAATTAGAGCAAGCGTTTTTGATCTTCCTTGACAAAAACTGCACGTTGCGGCGGCGTACTGGCACGGTGCCAAGCGAGCTAGCCGAAGTACGTCGCAGCCGCGGAGAGTGAGTTAGGCCTACGCTCTCGGACACGTTTTGAACCTTTGATCATGGGGAAGCCGTATCAAAAGTTCCGCACTGCTCATAAATTCGGAAAGAAGCGCAAAAAGACTAGGGCAAAGCGAGATTATGGCGTGGGTGCACCAGAAGCGCAACCAGTGCAGGACGGCGTGGCGACTTCATCGGTCGAAATGTCGATTTTCCCACCTGTCTCGGCGGCCGCCTCGGACGACGTCAGTGATAGACAGCGTGGCACAAGGCTCGACACGACGTTCTTGACGAGCGCCGATCGTGCGCGAAAGCAGAAGCAGACCGAAGATAAGATCTCCAGCTTATCTGCAACTCGCGCGCAAGCTGCGAACGCTCGCAACAGCGCGCGAGGACTCTGACCTGTCGGCGGCTACCTACGGGATCGTCGATTTCTCCGCAATAAACAAGCTGCTTGAAAGGACTACTAACTGCCGGACGTGCAATGGGACCGTTTCGATTGAAAAAGGTGCGTGTGACTATGGACTTGCGATGAAACTGACTTTAGAGTGCACCAACTGTGAACCTACTGGCAGTGAGTGGAGCTCTCGGCGGGCACCCAGTCAGGCTAAATGCGCCCCATTTGAAGTGAATCTCCTGGTGGCTCGTGCCATGCAAAGCACAGGGAATGACCAGGCAGCCCTCAACGACGTCTTCTCTGTTATGGGAATTTCCCACAGGGGACTTCATCACAGAAGCTACCAGAGCCATCTGAAAAACAAACTGAATCCTGCTGCAACAAGAGCTGCAGAGAAGGTCCTCTCTGACTGTGCCACGACCGTGAAAAACTTGTACCAAGAGCTGCACTTTGACAATCCAGGAAATGTGGCCATCTGTTATGATGGCACATAGATGACCAGAGGCCACCTGTCGCACATTGGTGTGGGTGTAGTTATAGAGCTGTTTCTGTTTACAGGCTATGTATTGAACTATGTTATCCTCTCAAACTTTTGTGCCGGCTGCCAGCGCGCACCACCAAAAGAGGACCCAAATTACTCGGCTTGGGAGTCGACGCACACCTGCCAAAAGAACACGCAGTGCAAATCGGGCCATATGGAGGTAGAGGCAGCAGTCACCCTCTTTGAGCGCTCAATTTCCCGTCACGGCTTGCGATACACAGTGATGCTGTGTGATGGGGACAGTAGATCCTTTCGTGCTGTGGAAGACGCAAAAGTTTATGGTTTTATACAGGTCCAAAAAGAGGACTGTATAAACCATGTCCAGAAACGAATGGGCACCGCACTACGCAACCTTGTGCTAAAGCATAAAGGTTCTGGGGATACACTAAGTGGAAGAGGCTGCTTGACAGGTGATGTCATAGAGAAATTGTCTAGATATTATGATTGGGCGTTAAAGTCCAATGTCGGTGATGTGAATGCGATGCACCGGGCAGCCATGGCCACATATTATCATGTCACATCAACTGATGAACAATTGAACCACACCTTGTGCCCAAGTGGGAGCGAGTCGTGGTGCAAGCAGAATGCTGCTGCTGCAAAAGGAGAGCCGCTGCCAAAACACACCTACAACTTTCCTCAAAATGTCCGTGATGCACTGCTTCCAGTCTACGAGCGACTTTCTGACATGGAGCTGCTGAAACGCTGCCAGAGAGGAAAGACGCAAAATGCAAATGAGGCACTCCATTCGGTTATATGGTCTCTAATGCGGAAGGACAAGCATGCTTCACTGATAGCTGTTGAGACCGCAGTTGCTGAGGCAGTGATGCGCTTCAATTCCGGTGTGAAGGAAGCGTCCGCTCGTATCCTTGGAGAACTTCAGCTGGAACCAAACTCCATGAGTGAGAAACGGGCAGAAGAAAAAGATTCTTTTCGAATAATGAGTGCTGAGCGGAAGCGTTCAGCATCGGCCAGGTTCTTGCATCAAGCAAAGCGGCAGCAACGACAAAAATGTGATAAGGACTACTCTCCTGGTGCCTTCTGAGGCATTTGTTTGCATTTTATTTCTGTGGCACTACTTAAATACACAGAGTTTTGTTTTTTGCGATTTTCTCAGTTTCAATTTTTTGGCCACCTTTCGTTCTTCCGTCAAGCGTTTCTCAGCTTTGGTACATTCGATTTTGATAATTTTTGTCTTGCTGAAAAGCTGGATGTCTAGTGAGTGCAATAAAGTGCCATATGTTACTGTAAGAAGCTATAAATTTTTAGAAAAGATAAAATAAGAAAAATATGTGTACACGGTAATTGAATGGTGAACTTTGAAGCTTCATAACTTTTGTTGTAGGAAGGCTAGAACCATAAAATTATGCTTCTTGCACTCTTTGATATCTATAAAATGCAATGACATTTCATTCAGCATAATCCGTGTAGCCAGTTCATTAAAAAAGTGACCAAATGAAATTTTAATTAATGACTCATTAAAAAATTAATGGTAAGGGGTACATAAAAATTGAGTTCATATTTGATATATGCACATGTAACTACATACAGTGGAATCTCGGTGATACGATCACGGCTAATACGAATTTCCGGATGATACGAATTTTTCTATGGTCCCTGCCGCGCCCCATTACTTTGCAATGCGCTAGAGTACGTTTGTTACGAATCGATTTTCTGCCCGCGTCGTTTGATACGAATGAACGTCACCCACTGACGGCCGCGAAATAGAACAGCGCTCAGTCGCGCGCCGGAATGCGCGCTGCACCAACGGTTTGGCATTTTGCCAACGGTGCCTGCCAGCAGCGCGTGGCAATCTCCAACATCGGCGCGCGGCGTGCGCAATATCGGAGACCTCAGAGACCGCTTGCGCCCTTTGATTTCGGTTTAGGTTGAGAGATGGCGCTGGCCACGGTTTTCTTTCTCCCTCTCTTTTTGGGTGCGGCGGCGCGGACGCGACGGACTGCGCGGGGCAATTGGGCCGGTGACACTTTTGTTGCTGTTGTGCTTTTCCTCTTTCTCTGTGTGGCGTTGGACGGAGTGGTTGCAGTGCTGTGCTTCTGACCGCGTTCTTTGTGTTTGCGCCATTTTGCCTAGTCGCAATGAGCTATGTCTCGCAAGCGAAAAGCGCTCTCCTTTAAGGAGAAATTAGACATCCTTCGCAAGGTCGATGAGGATCCTAAGAGAAAGCGGACGGAGTTGGCTAAGGAGCTAGGCCTTGCAACGTCAACACTGAGCACAGTTGTTGGACAGCGAGAGACCATAATGAAAAACGTGCTTTCGTTCAACGTCAACGCAAAGCAAGCGAAGACGGCTCAGCACGTGAAACTTGAAGAGACTCTCCTGACCTGGTTTAAAGAAGTAACCGCAGCTGGCGTAAATATAGATGGCAAAGTTTTGCGGGAGAAAGCCGACGAGTTTGCACTTGCTCTGCATATCGACGGATTTCAGGCCTCAGGTGGGTGGCTGCAGCGCTTTAAGACTAGGCACGCTCTCGTTTACAAAAGCGTCTGCGGCGAAGCGAAAAAAGCTGACGAGGCAGTTGTCAGCAACTGGTTAGAGAAGCTGCCGTCACTCATTGCAGAGTATGAGCCTCGTGATATTTTTAATGCTGATGAGGCCGGTCTCTTTTTTAACCTGCAACCCGAAAAGAGCCTCTGTTTAAAAGGCGAAGCATGCAGAGGAGGCAAAAAAAGCAAAGAGCGTATTACTGTGCTCTTGTGCTGTAACGCCGACGGATCGGAAAAGCTGAAACTGACCGTAGTCGGAAAGTTCCAAAAGCCCCGGTGCTTGAAGCGTGAGAGTCATTTGCCGTGCGTCTATCGCGCAAACAAAAAGGCGTGGATGACGGCGGCGTTGTTTGAAGAGTTTTTGTCACTCCTTGACAGGAGGATGGCTTGTAAGAATCGGAAGATTCTTCTTTTTCTTGACCAGTGCGCCGCCCACCCCAGGCAAGTAACGCTTCAGAACGTCAAACTCGTCTTTTTACCCGCAAACGCGACGACGCACCAGCAACCCCTTGACGCTGGGATTATTAAGAATGTGAAGCACCATTTTAAGAGCTTTCTTGTGCGTCGCCTACTCGCTAAAATTGACCGAAAGGACGAAGCTGACCTGAAAATAAGCCTCTTGGACGCCATCAATTTTATAGCTATGGCATGGGATCGGGTAACTCCGACTACCGTAGCGAACTGCTTCGGCAAATGCGGCTTCTTCGGGAGTCCAGAAGAGGTGCCCCCAGAGCCGGAAAATCCTACAATTGAGGACTGGCAACAGCTCAACGTCGAGTGCACATCTGATGATTTTTGCACGGCAGATGACAATCTCGCCACCTGTGGTGCGCGCACGGTCGAAGATATTGTTGAGGAGGCCACGTGCGGGGCTGCCGATTCCAGCGATGATGGCGACGACATAGACGTGGGCGACGGCAAAGGACCACCACCGGCGGCTGAAACGCTGCACGCGCTCGACGTTCTGAGGCGCGCTGTGGACGCGGATGAAGTCAGCGACGACACGTGCAGGCGTTTTTATGCTTTCGAACAAAGTCTGGTAGGTGACTTGGCGAAGAAAAAGAGGCAGAAGGACATCAGAGACTTTTTCATCAAGAAATAAATGCTTTTTACGTACTTGTGCCTGGATGAGTTCACGTCTGACTCTTTGTTAATTTAGCTAGTTTTATTTGTTTCGATGATACGAATTTCGGCTAATACGAATATTTTTCGTGACCCCGTGAGATTCGTATCATCGAGATTCCACTGTAATCACCTAAGTTTTCATCGTCCTAACTTAAATAAAAAGATGCTTTATGTCAAAGCGCCTCTTCCCCCCTTAAGGAAATAAACGAAGGACATGTGTGTTCTCTGCAGATGAAGCGACCACTCATTTGACTCAACATAAAGGCTTTCTACGGGGCTGGTGCGAAAAGCACCCGTAGAAAGGCGGATTGAAGTAAGAAACGAAAGAAAGAAGAAACGAATGAATGTTTTTCTAGGAAAATGCAAAAAATGGACCTCGAGAATTGGATGCCCAAATGGTGCACGGGGTCCAGCATCTTCAAAGCACCTTGAGTAGCAGACTGATAGACAACGGCCCCATAATCTAAGCGGGTGCGAATGAGGCTTCTATATAGGTTCATGAGACATTGCCTGTCACTATCCCACCTAGTATGTGACAACACTTTTAAAACATTCATGGCTTTTAAACATTTTGTTTTTAGATACTTGATGTGCGGTACGAAGGTCAACTTGTTGTCCAGGATTATTCTTAAGAATTTATGCTCCGTATTAACAGACAGACGTTGACCGTTCAGTTGAATGTTGGGTTCTGAGTGCATGCCTCTCTTTCGGGAGAACAAGACACACGTGCTTTTTTGTGGGTTCAGTCGGAATCCGTTTTCCTCTGCCCATTTGGAGACCTTGTTTAAACCAAACTGAACCTGCCGCTCACACATTGCAGGGTTGCAAGATCTAAAGCCAAGCTGGATGTCATCGACATATGTACAATAAAACATATTGCGAAGAATGGACAAGCGCAAGGAATTCATTTTGATGAGAAAAAGTGTGCAGCAAAGTACACCACCTTGTGGCACGCCTGTTTCCTGGACAAATTGGGAAAGAACCGTACCCACTCGGACACGGAATGTCCAGTTTGACAGGTAATTTTCGATTATGTGAAACATTCTTCTGCCCACGCCAAGGTGGGACAGGTCTCTTAGAATTCCAAAATGCATGTTGTATCATAAGCCTTTTCGATATCGAGGAATACAGAGAGAAAATATTGTTTATGGGCGAAGGCGTCCCTGATCTGTGCCTCGATACAAACGACATGGTCTGTGGTGGATCTACTTTCTGGAAACCCGCACTCAAATGGGTCGAGCAAATTGTTTGTTTCAAGGATATGTACAAGTCGGCAGTTTATCATTTTTTCGAAGACTTTGCACAAGCAGCTTGTAAGTGCAATAGGCCTATAACTCGAAGGTAAAGAAGGGTCCTTGCCCTTTTTTGAAATGGGAATAATAATAGCCTCTTTCCAGGAGGTAGGGATAGTGCCAGAAAACCAGATAGCATTGTACAAACAAAGTAAGGTTTTTCGTGTTTCTGCTGGCAGGTTTTTTAACATTTCATACACCCCACGGTCAGAACCTGGTGCAGAAGTACTGCAGGAGTTTAGAGACGTTTGCAGCTCAGCTAGACTGAAAGCTTGGTTATATGCCTCGTATCTAGTGCATTTGTGTTCGAGTTTCTGCTTTTCTATTCTTGTTCTGTATTTTTGGAAAGTGTCAGTATAGTGGGATGAGCTGGACACCTGTTCGAAGTGTGCACCGAGGAAGCTTGCCTGATCTTCCAAGGTATCACCCTGAGTGTTTACGAGTGGAAGTGTGTGCACTTGTTTTCCTGCTATCCTACCGACCATGTTCCAGACTTTAGCCTCCTGTGTGTATGAATTGATCCCTGACAAAAACTTCTGCCAGCTTTCTCGTCTGGCCTGCCGTCGCGTTCTCCTGCCTTGAGACTTTATTTTCTTGAAGGTGTCAAGATTTTCTGCTGTCGGCGAGTTCCGAAGCAACCTCCATGCTCTGTTTTGCTGTCTGCGTGCGTTTCGGCATTCAGAGTTCCACTATGGCACACGCCGTATTCCAGGGTGTCCATTTGTTTGTGGGATGCATTTTGTTGCAGCATCAATCAAAAACGCTGTGAAGTAGTCGACAGCAACATCAATGTTCAAAGTACATATGTTATTCCAACCTAGACGAGCGATGGTATAAAACTGTTCCCAGTCAGCTCTATTTATGAGCTACTTGGGAACACGTGGTGGGCACTCGGTTGCTGTAGTTGTGCTCAAAACTACGGGGAAGTGGTCACTTCCGTACAGATTACTGACGACTTTCCACAGGAGTAGAGGCACAAGAGATGGAGATACTATGCTTAGGTCTATGGAGGAGTAGGTGTTATTAGCGAGATTATAATAGGTTGGTTCTTTTCGATTCAGGAGACACGCGCTCGACGAGAGAAGGAACTGTTCGATCAGTCGACCTCGCGCGTCATACCGAGAGTCACCCCATAGCCTGTTATGCGCATTAAAGTCTCCAAGGAGAACATAAGGCTCCGGAAGTTCATCAATTAGAGAGTGTAAATCACGTTTTTGCAGCTGATAGCTAGGAGGAATGTAAATAGTGCAGATTGTGATCAGTTTATCAAAGAGAACTGCTCGAACAGCCACTGCCTCAAGGGATGTTTGGAGTTGTAAGTGTGTGCATGCAATTCCTCTATTCACTATGATGGCAACACCTCCGGATGATGTCATGGCATCAACACGGTCCTTTCGGAAAATAACGTATTTACGAAGAAAATTTGTGTTTTGAATTAAGGTGTGTTTCTTGTACACACAGCACTTTTGTTGAGTGTTCGTGTAAGAGTTCTTGGATGTCGTCAAGGTTTCCGAGAAGGCCCCTGACGTTCCATTGTATAATTTGAGTGTTCATGATGAATGTAAAATAGTGCTGTGTGTACGAAAAGCGAGTGGCTGTTAAGACAGGGAGTTTGAGTTCACTTAACAGGGCCGTCAGCAGGCCCTGTTATCCGCTTTTTTGTTTTCTTGGCGCGCTCCAAGGAGCCACGCCGCTCTTTCGGCACCAAGGGTACCGATGTATCCATTGCCTCCTCGGAGGCACTGGATGCCCGCACGTGCGGGCTGTTAGTACGAATTTCGGGCCTCGCCTGGTGAGGTGAGGCCTTGAGACCTGAGGACTCTGGAGTCTCCGTTCTCTGTTTGGGAGTAGGCGGTGTAGCCTGGGCTACAGCCGCCTTGGGGGCAGGAGCCAGAACCACCGGCTCGGTATGCGCGGGCCGAAGGAGTGGCGAGGGCTGGTGCGGCGGTGCCCCCTGACGCGCCGCATCAGCGTATGTAGGTCCATAGAATAGAAGCAGCTCTTCGCCGTGCTTCCTTAAATGTAATGTTCTCCTTCACCTTCAATGTAATTATTTTTTTTTTTCCAGTATGTGCAGGAGCGTGAATATGGGGCATGGTTTCCTTCGCAGTTTACACAGTGTGGCAGTTGTTTGCAGCTCTCAGACACGTGGCCTAGGACTCCACATTGTGCACAAGTCTGGCGACCACAACAGGTTTTAGAGCCATGGCCATACCTCTGGCATTGAAAGCAACGACGAGGGTTTGGTATGTACAGCCTGATAGATGTCTTCGTGTACCCTGAGTGAATAGATTCCGGTAGTTTACTGGATGCAAACATGAGTATTAGGTGTTTTGCCGGTGTTTCTTTATTATCTCTTCTGATGATGATTCTCTGTACATTAGTGACATTTTGGCTCTTCCACCCCACCAAAAGTTCAGTCTCAGTCAAGTCAATTACCGTATTTACACGATTGTAAGACGACCCTTTATTTCAAATTTGACAATCCAATGTTGGGGGGTCGTCTTAGAATCGAAATCGAACCATGTACCTTAGAATCGAAATCGAACCATGTATTGTCATCTCGAATAGTTTCCCGCTCAACCCAAAGCGCATAGTTTTCCGCGTGCTCATACAAAAGCTTTTCTTTTTTTAGCATCTACTGCGCGCATTACGAGTGCCTTTATGACGAGCGCACGGCTCTTGAGGGAGCACCGGTAACGATGGAAGAGCCGCCGTAGGGGGGTATTGGTAGTTGACGGAAGAACTCCTCTTTGTGATACAATTTTCTAAGCGGGCGCGTCGCCGCGTGCTCCTGTCGCTTGTGTCCACGACCGGCTCTCTCGAGTCACTCCTGTCTGACATGAGTGCCGTAACATGAGGACGAAAGTTCGGAATCGGTGAATGTGTGGAGTGGAAGTGGCGGCTTCAGCGCGAGGAAATTTTCTCGTGCGACTCCAAGCGCCGTGGCTTTCGCGGGCAGAAGTCTGGCTGCTTTCCGGAGCTAGAGGCGAAGCTTGCGGCCTACGTGACTGACCTACGCGATCGATCGTTGTTGGTCGCGATCGTTGTTGGTCCGTAGCAAAGCCACGCACGGCTAGGCGTGGGAGGGAGCCGAAACTCCCCCGTTAGCTCGGGTCCGTGGTGTCGCTACACACCAAAAGCCCACTTGCGCAGGCGCCCCTGCGGGGTTAAGCCTAGGTGCTTCGACGCTCGTCAGCAAACTCCTTTGTTCACATCGTGAGGATTTCGCTTGCCTGCGATGGCCCTCACTCCACCTTCGTTGTCCTCGCCAATGACATCGAAGCGCGGAAAACAGTACCGCCGGTTAATGATGAAGAAAAAAGCCGCCACTATTAGGTTAGTGAAGAGCGCCCGATCGCAGGCTCAGGTTCGTTGACGTTGACAACGAGCTCGACTTTTGCGCAGAGCTATCTGACGTCGAAATACTCAGTCAGGTTATTCAGACGACTCAGATGTCGAAAAAGAGGAACCAACACCTGCGCCACCTACGACTGCTGAATTGATGCGAGCATTGATGACGCTGTCATCGGTGTAGAGTGATGACATGACCCTTGCTCAGAACGAGGCGAATGTGATCGCATGCAAGCGGAAGGCTGTTCAAACAAGGATCAACAAGTTTTTCAAGCCACTGCAGCTCTAGCACCGGCTGCACTGACGGCACCCGCTGTCGGCTGCATGCATTATTTTAACGGCTCTTTTCAGAGCCACCTCACTGATGCTTTGGCAGAGTTCCGGAAGTCTGGTGTACTTCGACCTCGACCCTCTTGATCCGAGAAACATCAATGGAATGGTGCGTTTTTTTAGCTAGCATTCATTTTTTTCGGACTGCCCGAATTTTCGTACGATTTTAGCTCCCTAGAGGGTCCGAAAAATCAGCAGTTGACAGTATAATTTTGACATCACATAAGATGGCATCACGTGGTGATGTCGTCACACGAAACTACCAAATAGAGAAAAGTGTGCCCATGGTAAAACAAGTGCAACCCCGAGCTTTTGATAAGGTGGTAGCACAGACTGAGAATTGACTGAGAATAAAAAGATCACAAGTTTTCCAACACAGTCAGAATGAGTTCTACTCTCGGACATGTCCCAAGTCGTAGCGTCGCGTTGGACTTTCTCTGGTTGAGAAACTGCCACAGATACAAAAATGACTAGTATGAGGACCCTGTTTACCACGTGCACTGCGCTGGCACAAAGAAGTAGAGGCAAGCTGATCTGCAGCTATTTAGAAAACTTTACAAGACTATCGGGCAAACAACTCCCTCGATGTGTGGAGGAACAGAACAATAAACTTTGTCTCAACGCAACCTTTACGACGCTCGGCGCAGCTTGGTGCTCATTGTAGCAAAATGACACAGTTTCAGCAACACTGTACCTGGGCCGATGCCAAGCCACCAGATGTCACTGACAGGAACAGAGTGCAGCCCCGTGAAGAGCCGTCTGTGTAGCACTCGGTGGTGCCCTCGGTCCGAGTTACCTGGAAAGACAGTCACAGGAAGTATGTTTTCAATTAAACGTGGCTTGCCTTTGATAACTTAATCAAGAGAGCAACAATCGACCAGAGCATAAAATGAGATGACTCTACTGATAGAAAGATAGTCCCTCCCGATGACTCAAAGAGACCCTGCTTTTTTCAGGAGCGTGGATTTATGGTATTTTAAATATGAAGCATTTCTTTGCGAACTGTAGGGACTTTCAACATCTATCTCAACCTCTATCCGTCTACCCATTCATCCGTCCGTTTTTCCGTCCGTTGAAGCCTGTTTACTGGCCCTTAAAAAGCTCAAAATAGAGGTGGCTGGAACTTTTACACAAGCAGAATAAAAACAGCTTCCAAGAATCGCGAGAAGAACGACATGCTTTGTGGGATTAACCGCTGTAGCTACAAACCCTAGGAAGAGTGAGCTTTCTGTCATGCCGAAAAAAAAAATGAGTCCAGATCAATCAGCTATCTGTACCTTTAAAAACGACCCTCAGTTAATTCGCAAAGCATTTTCAAACAGCTCAAAGCCGCACTGAACTTGCATAAGTAATTTGCAATAACTTAACTGTTAATCACACTCAATCTTTATTATAAATACAATTACTGCGGCTGCAATATATTTTTTAACATTACACGTCCTTTTATATAACCAAAAAATTCACAAACTTTAATGCAGCTGTGCAGTGCATTACTCAACTTATAACTGCATGACACTGAAGAAGAAACTGACCATAAAAAAAACTGACCTTAGATTTAAATCGCCGTGACTGGGCCTTTTCTGCTGTGACCATGCCTGCCGAGGCTCGCCGTAGAGCTCTGCAACACATTTTTACATCAAGCGCCACATTTTTACACCAGCACACAAGCAATTTATAAGGGGATCAAGGCCTCCCATTATACAAGAGAAGATAGCATCACAGGGCGACGACTACACGTATTTAAAAACACATACGCAAATTAAGATAAACACCCAACAAGTAAAGTGTTATTCTGAGTAAAAGTTAGTGTCCTCAGAACATTCACAAGCCACAAAACTTTGAGGCAATATCGATGTAGTGACGCTACCTCTGCAATTGAACAAATGCTTGTGAAGGTTATAAAGATGAATGTACAACTCCAAGTGTATTCAGGGTGTTCATTTGAGGCGTTTCTAACAACACAAACGAGGGAATGTGGTACTTGACTTTTCGAAGGCTTTTGATAAATCAAGTCATAAATCATTACTTATAAAGCTCAGACAACCAAACTTTGATTGCAAGATCACTAGATGGATAAAGCTTCCTATTTAAGCACATGTAGTTTGCAATTCTCAGTGAGAATAATTCACTCGTACTGCTCACTTTGGCATGCTGCAGTGTAACCTCTACATAACCTCTGAAAGCTTTCATCTTAGTCCACTTTTGTTCCTAATATATGTTTATGATTTACTTATTTGTGTTTTATCTAACATAAAACTGTTTCTAGATTACTTATTTTTCACAAAATTAATAGCCAAAACGATGTCACCACTTCCCACTACCTTGCACTGACTCAATGTTTGATGCATGCATGACTTGACAAACAGAATGGAATGCTACTGAATGTAAGGTTTTGCATACGTCCCAAATGTCATCCTCTTCTGCTAACTGCTTACTTAACATTTTACTCAAATAAGTTACCCCTTACCGTCCTCAAGGCATACACATAACCTCTTGTATAAGATGGTCTCTGCATGTTCACTACATCACCACTAATGCAAGTTGCATGCTTGGGTATATTCGCCAAAACTTTTCTGTGTTTGTCTCACTTCAACGACTAAAGTGCACATTACTAAGTTGTAGTGAGCTAGAATATGCCACTCCGAGTAAAGCTAATCTAATAACTACTCTCTAATTCATACAAAACAACTCAGTTTAGTTTCATTCTTTACAATCACATCCTTTAAGCTAGCATATTTGGGATTAAAAACTCACTTGAACTGCCGTCTCTTGCTTCTTGTCGTATGCCTTTCTGCCAGTGTCTTGTTTCCCTAATTATGTTTCTTTATTCTAGCTCTTTGTGCCACACTCATTCCCCCCTTCTTACATATGAACTAGAATCGATCAGTCAAATAAAATTGGTGTAATGTAATGTACAATCAAAACATGCAGTGATTTGTTTATCCCGACGCCTGTAGACTGGAACTACGTTCACGGACCTGTAGCCACGATCATTGCTTCTTCTATTCTGCACCATGTAGTATTCTACATCGAAGCCAGCAAACTAACCTGTTTTTTTCTACATAACCTCTGAACTTTCACTAACATTGTATATGTTTTGCCCCTCTCCCTAATAATGCCTTTTGGCCAAATGGTATTATTATGAAATAAGTGAATAAATCAATAAAGTTAAAATTCCACATGGACACCGTGAAGTGCTTCCTCTGCAGGCACCGAATGTGGCCAGTAAACTCGAGCTAGCTACCATCAGCACGTATGTTACCTCTGCCCACGCTGCGCTAGAAGCTTAGTCACACAGTGGCAACCTGTTGTGCACAGTGTACAGAAGAAATGTGTGCAGCAGTACGATGATACCCGTTTTTTTTTTTTTTTTTCAGCCACGTCAACCTCACGAACCATATTAAATTATTATGCAACAAATTACACCGCTAGAATTGCCCCCGCACAAGATAGTACTGCCAGAAAATACAATTCTACCGCTTGTCGAAATGTGTTGTTTTGCGGCGTGTATGACGCTGTTTCGCACATGAAAAGGAGACTAAGCAAAATCACTAGCGCCTCTTGGGGGTCACTGATTGGTATATTGAGTGCTTGAAATCGGGGGAGAGGCGCTTCCCCTTCCCCCTTTATACCTTGAGGATCCCCCCTTGGCAGGTTAGCTGTAGGACTGCCGCAACAGTTCGAGTTGATGCCGTGCTACAGCTGACCTGCCGAGGTGGGAAGCCTCAAATAATACGGGGGGGGTTGGAGCACCAGCTTCTTTGATTTTCAGCCCTCTACATACCATGTAGGAACCGCCAAGAGGGGCAAATTATTTTGCTCGGTCTCCGTTTTATGTATCTAGCCCACAGCAGCGAGCGAAACAATGCCACACAAAACGCAACACAACACACGGCCTGTCCCAGCGATACTTGCCTGATGTATGCCGCTCGACGGAAGTATCGTTGGCAGATAGGCCGGGTGCGTTGCATCGGGGCTCCTTTTGTTCCCCACGAAGTGCGCGATGCATATCCGAGTATCGCCCCACACGGGCTGCCACAGATGCCTCTCTCACCTGAAGGAAAGGAAATTACGTTTAACACGTTACGAAATTGATCATGCACTTGCGCCGATTGGCGGCGTCCTGTTGTCCGGAACACCTTGGCAGATAGCTGCACTGGACTGTTCATGCACGTATTCTCGTTTGTTTCGCCACCATCCTTCGTTATAATCGTTATGCTACTGTGTACGGCGTTTATCGATTAGCCGGTAGACATTCGTGCGTTCAGGTTAAACATGAGACGGGCTGTACCACACATGAACAAAAACAGCGGTCTGTTATTACCTTGATCGTTGTACTGCCCTGATCCACGTGCTTTCCGGTTGTCATCGTACTTTCTCCAAAAGAATCGGTAGAATTCCACCTTCGGTAGCTTTTCTGCGGAGTTTCTGTAACTACTCTTGTGGCATCCTCCCGCAAAATACACAGAAGATGCCCCTTTCGGCCGTTTTTCGCTTGGGCCCGCCACAATACACCTTGACCCGCCAGAATTCTCATAAACCATGCCGCGCGCTACTAAATCCTTTACTGGTTTTCCTGGAGATGACGCCACTTCTCATTTTTTTTTTGTCATAAATTTTTTTACGAACTTTTGTGAAAAACCAACGCCTCCTCTGAAAAATGCCTGCCGCATGAAAAGAAAACGACTGCCACACCTTTTCTTTTCTTTATTTTATAATGTTCTCGGTCGCTAGCGTCACCTGTGGTAGACGGTGCAACAACGCATCGCTTTGCATAGCCTCCGAATTAGCGATGTACAGTTGTAGGTCTCGAACATCTCTCGACTGACGCGCCCCTATGGGCCGCAGATGAAAAACGCTTAGCTGGTACCAACGTTTCTAGACTAGGAAAGTCGCAAAACTCCCGGCGTCCGACTACTCGTCACTCGGCACCGGGACAGCTTCCAGTTTGGTGGCACTGGCGGCGCAACAAGCTTCCGCTAGCAGACGAAAACGCATAGTCGTCGTGTCAAGACGCCGGGGCGGCCGTTCTGAAAGAGCTTTGCCAACAGTATATTATCGAGACTTGTTGTGCTGCCGCAGAAACTTAGTACTGCGTAATATTTAGCAGCGTAAGGCAAATACATTATAATTATGGTTTTCTGAACTGCCCACAATAAACAATGCTTGATATATATAGCATAACATACGAGTCTGTCGGTTAGTTGCTAGTTGGTGTACGTTCGCAATATATATTTAGACGCGAAAACCCCAATTACAATGTCTGGCATCCTCTTTTTGAGGGTGTTTTTTTTTTTTGGGGGGGGGGGGGGGCTTGAAAATAAATTACAACTATGTGACGCAATCTCGTGGCTTTTGTCTGGTTATGTAGTCAGCTTTTTTTTTTTTTTTCATGTCAGTCACATTCTTTAGGAACTTAGACCGTCGAGAAGCTGCGCGTGCGGCCATTTTCTCGAGCATGTCTTCCCTCTGCTTATTCTGGATTTCCTCTAATGAAACCTGTTAACACAGCTGCAGCCAAAGCTTCGAGCAGAGACCGCACTTTGGGGTATCGGTGAGCACTTCGTAGTCATTACTCACGAGTCTGCCTGCCGACGCACTGGGACAACCTGAACACACTTCCAGATTTTCTATGTCCTCCAGAAGTTCGGCCGATTGGGTGATGGTATCGGCATTGCCAGGCGACTTGGCTAAGCGATGGTGACGGCTGCTAATGGTGACTGTCATGTCTTCTGCGACGATAAAGCATTTCTCCACAAATAGTGCTCTTTTTTATTTTTTGAGCCCTAGAAATACCACAAGACGTCTCGCCATTCTCAACAACTTTCCACCAGCATGCAAACAAATGTTTTCTATGTCTTGCAGCGATATGATGCCACTTGTTGACGGCATGTCAGGACTTATTTCACTGTCTTCGAGCTCAGTGCTCGGAGATAGTCTATTCTTTTTCGCCGATGATATTCTGGAAAATACCCCACTCCTCTCGGCCAGCTTTCGCTTCTTTGTCGCGGACTGGCTCTTGATTAGGTAGGCCATTCGGCTCATGTATGTCATATTTTGCTGATGTTGCGTGGTTATGCGCTGATTCTGTTTTGCTATATGTTGGACTTGGATTGCAATAAACTTTGGTTGTTAGTTCAGCGCTCTGTTCTCGTCTCTTCTATCCCCTCCTGTCGTTTCCACTGTTAAGCACTTTCTTCGTCCCCCAGGTGGCGGTGGTGAATGCGTCGATGGCAGACGATAACGATGGAGGATGGCACTACATAGGCTAGAAAAAACTTCCAGCCTCTCTAATGGCATGCTCGAGCTGACCGCTCATAGTCAGTCACGGCAGAGTCTTGAAATGAAAGATGTGTCGCTCAGTGTTTCGTCCTCGTCTCTGAGGATTGTGGGCGGCGGCTGTCCCGGATATCTATCTACAATGGAAACACAGGCGTTCTCGAACAACTCGGAACCCGCCGCTTCCACGGGACCCGTGCAGGTCGAGGCACAAACACCGAAAATAGCTTCACAGCATACGCCCATGCAATGCACATATGTTCGGCCATCTGAAGATATCTTTTTTCACGCTGGTATCTACGAATTTCAGGCGAGTGGAGCACTGTCGATGTACGGAGAAGTG